TGTATGATATTGTCCACTTTGAACAAAAGCCGTCATGGCTTTACTTTTGATTACACCCGAAGGCCAAAAGATGAATTTGATCATCTTCTCTTTATCTAGCTAATGTGAGAATTTGATCGGATTCCCAATAGTCAGCACATTAATCTCTATTAGGTACGCACCCTTTTATTTGCATGACCTGACCAACTAAAATAAAGTGAATATTAAATATGAAATCAAATTTCCTTTTCATGCGAGATGTTCGCGGACTAGTATTTAGTGAATTCTTTTTAATAATTATAGGAGGTTGTTAAAATTCGAAAAGTTCTCTGGTCGAGATATATGTCTTAACTAGTTAAATTATGTTTAAGTTGGCTAGAATTATAGTTTYTTTTTATCTGGTTAGAGAATTTTTAATATTTATATATAAAAAAAACACAAAACAAAACAAAATTCATCTATATATATGATATAACAAACAAAAATAAAATATCAAATTAAAAGAAGAAAGTAAAAGGATAAAACAATCTAAAACTAATAAATAATATTGTCTACAAATTAAAAAATTCAATATTCATGCAACAAACACACAGAAGGAATTTAAGTTAAACAGGGTAGAATCCTTAAATCCTCTCCCCCGACGTGGCTTCAACTAGTCTGGGATCTCCTCAAAATAATTTTTTTAATTTCACATTTTTACACACTTTAGGGATACATTGAAAATCATAAAAATGAAATATGTTCCAACTTATGAAATTAAAAAAAAAAGTCTATATTATTTATTTGAAATAATAAATAAATGAGTTCATGCATGTCTTTTAGTCAACAAGTCAGATCCACAAGAATGTACATGACTCGTGTTTTCGGAAATGATATAATAAGTAAGGATTGATGTATTGTTCAAGAGTTGGTCGATTTCGTCGAAGAAGATTAAGCTAGGTGTAGGATTGAGAGATTCATCTGCCATCAAAGAAAAAGGAAAAAAGATGCAAGAATTACACCAAAACAAATGGCGTGTATAAAATAAAACCGCCAAATAGTCTGTAAAAGTAGGGAAAAAAATTAAAAATCATTTAGTAAACCCTCGAACACTCGGCAAAAGAAGGAAAAATAATTTTGAACTCTAAAAAAAATACATGCCAAGACCTAGACGTAGACATAGGGAGTAAATAGACTTTCGTCGTATAAATATGGTAGAAATAATTTCTGATTCTCCGTGTGATTGTATTAGTTTGCAATTTATGTTATTTTTATTTTAGATATAATTTTATATGTAGTAAATAAATATTTCCTTAGTGCTATTTTTATAATTTACTAAAAAACACTAGGGGAGGGAGGGACTTGCCCTACCTCCGCCAGTAATTTAAAAGTGGGGAATTATTTGACATTTTTTTAGAATTAAATATGAAATAAGTACAAATTCAAAATAATTAAGATGTAGTTTGACAATTTTATTTTTAGTTTTTAATTTTTTAAAAATAGTACTTATTTTTTAGGTTTTCATTTAGTACATCTTTCCACCCCTCTTTAAAATATAATTTAAATTTTTAGACCAATTTCAAATTTAAAAGACTCCTTAAAATAGAATTTATTGATATGACTAGAAATTATCAATTCTAGAAATATCAAAATTATTTCATAGATTAATCAAAACATAGTTCAACTGGCTAAAGCATCTATGACTAAAAAGTCAGTGAGTTTGAATTCTCATCCTACATATTATATTTTAAATAATTGATCAATTAAAGTTTTTTCTCCTCATTTTAATTTTTGTTTCATTTTAAATGTTCTAAGTTGTGTTAATTGTTTTTCAATGTACAGAAATTATCCAAAAATTGAATTTGGTATCGGCTAATTAACCTCCCCAACATCCATTGCTAGGCATAGTTTTAGATATATACTAATCGATACTAATGACCCGAGCTTATCAAAATTAAAAGCGAAAATTGAGGAACAAAATCGACAGACTTCATTAAATAAATATAACAAACAAATTGAGAGAATAAAATTTGTTAGGGATGAAATTACCGTATTAAGTTTACCTAAAGTGATAGACAAAGAATCAACCCTGGCCAAACCACCACCTAGGATCGTCAAGCCAACCTGACCTTAATCTTATCCAATCGAGATGGTCTATCTAAGCCTATCCAAAGAAACGCACTCTATAAATAAGACGAGAGGCATCATGCACGAGAGATATTTTACACAACCCCTATTTTTTTGCTAGATGCTCAACTAAAATTCACTTTCTAACCCATTTGCAAAACCTTTGCAAGCTCTCCTCTTTTCTTTTGTTTTTAGACTATGATAACATATCAATATTATTCTTTGAGATAGTATTTATTCATGGGATTTGTCTCCAAGAGATAGTTTGGGTAGCTCGGGGCCTCAAGGAATATCCTTGAGATCTTGGGCTGAGGGACAAAAAGGTCAAAGGGTCATCGACTTATAGGTTTCATATTGTTCATGGGATTTCATTTCAAAATTAATTGACAATGAGAAGAATATCCTACCTATATTATAAATTCTTATTAAGTCTTTTATCTTTTCACCGTGGGATCCTAAACCGTAAACCAACTCATTTTGAATTGATTAATTTTGGAGACACAACCAAGTTTCACTTACATTTGGATTAACTAGATCAAGTATATGCACTTTGAATCTGGACGTTTAGATTCATAGTAAGTGATTTAGCATGGTATGTGTTACGTGGATGATCCAACGACGTTGAAAGTTGAAAATAAAAAATAGACAAGTTTGTCTTGGGAATAAAGACGATAAGCCATGTAGGGAGTGGAGTGGTATGCCCACTGTTTTGTTATTTGTTATGTTGTCCTTATATATTATTGTAAGT